GAAAGACTGGTAAGTTTTAATTAGCTGCATCACTTGTAATTTTTTTTGTTTATGCAGGGAATGCTTAGAGACATGGATTCTGAAGTTTAACTTCGTAAATTATGTGAGGGCTAAGAAAATGTGTGACTAGAGAGGGCATGCTTACAATTTGGGGAGTTTAGGTAATTATCCTGTTAAACAGGAGCAAGCGGGGAAAAAACATACTGTATCCTATAATTAGAATCCTAGCACTAATAAAACTTCAACCGTATAGTTTTCATTCCAGTTCACTAATCATGCTTATTAAACGTAGGCTAAAGAAGGAGCCAGCCTTGCAACTGTTGAAATATCAAAACTGAAGACCAAGGTTGATGATTTGGAGAAGGCATTGCATCAGACAAAAGCCTTCCAAGCAGAAGCTGAGAGAGAGATTGCATCATACCAGAATGAGCTTGCTGGATTAAGGTATAGGTGTTAAAATTAACAAAGAGTGCATGTGGCTCTTGTTCAGAATTCTTCAGTGACTTCACAACCTGACATAAAACTGACACAAAACCAAAATTATGTGTGGTTTAGCAGGAAGTAAGATAAGAATATTTCTGTAATGTGCGAAATCAGCTTCCACAGAGTTGTCTTTGGTGGTGGTTATCCTTCTATCTTTCTGTAATGGTCTTTTTGTTTATGTAAAGTTTCAGGCAGTCTTAATTTAATGTTTTCTGTTCTATTGGTGACTTGGATGTATGGAACTACAGTTTAAGAATCTTATTTCAATGCTTGGTATTATATTCTCTTACTAGAATAACAATCGATATGGCTGGACACTTCCACCCTCCAAATCTCTCTCTCTCTCTCTCTCTCTCTCTCTCTCTCTCTCTCTCTCTCTCTCTCTCAAAAAGATGTCTGAGGTGTTGCATATTTGGCCCAACTACATATTGAAAATTAACTTCATTTCACAGTTGAGCATTATTTTTGTAGATTCAAGAGTCCACTTCAGCACTGTTCACAGCTTGCGTCACCTGTAACAAATGAATAATGTGACACCTTGGGCCTAAATTGATGAATGCCTCATGAGGTCAACTTCAAAGAAGGCAGTAGGCATTTTTAAGTGGCACTCAGTGGAGGCAGATCAAGGTTTGGTCATCTTAGACTGCTGTTCTCATTCAAGCTTTTAAAATTGTGCAGATGAGTGAAGTGCGAAAGCATGCGATAATCGGTTCAGTGAGGATAATTTTGTTTGAATTTGAGGCCAGTAGGCAGTATCCTAGTGCCTTACTTGCATTTTATTGTCCGTAGTGCAATTTCTAGATTTCTAATTAATGTCTGTGTAAGATAATGTCTGGTTTATTTTCGAAGCTTTTGGGGGAAGGGGATGTAGATCAAAAGGCCAGCCCCACATTTATCTCTGCAAATGTGAGCAAGTTAGCATGAAATACTCAAACCTCATTCTAACTTGCAGACTTAACCAGTGAACAACACGAATAGTCTTTTTGCATTTTTTCCCCCAAACTTTAAAAACATATGTTAAATTGAATTCAAAAGGATTTAAATGACTTTTATGCCCTTTGTGATAATGCCTGTGTATGACAGCAGTTGTTGGAGATGTGGCATGTTTGTTTATTTCAGTCTTCTGAGTCTAGGGTGTTCCTTTTCAAACTAGTGTACTTGCAACAGGGTAGACTGGCTATCTTGAGCAGCATTCTACACAACTGCAACCTAGAGCTGCTTTGCTGCGGAACCTTGGTTTTTAGGTAGTTGAAGTATGTGCTGCGTTAACAGATGTTAATATCTTTACAGCCAAATAACTTCTTTCATCTCCAAGCCAACGAAGCGAATGTGATGTTACCACTTTCCAGGCTTTATTTTCTGACTTCTTTTTTTTCTTTTTAGCAGATGTCTTTAAACTGAAGTATGTATTGAGAACATTCATATAGTCCTCCATATTTGCATATAACTGTTCAAAAAATACCATTATTTATTTCAGAAGTAACAGTGAGTACAGCTTTATCCTTTTCATTCACTAGTGTGTAGCATATTATCATTTAACGTCTAGTCTAATATTTTATATTCAGAATGGAAAACAACCTCCTCCTCTCAGAGTCCCAGGCACTGCGAAATCAATGTCAGATCACAGTTGCTGAGAAAGACCGACAGATTGCAGAGCTACAGAAGCTGCAACAAGACATGATTGTTAAGAAATCAGTCTCCGCTGGCAGCAATTACCCAGACAAGGTAAACAAATGCAATGTAGCAGGAGGCACGAATCTCTACTTCCATCAGTTCATTGTATTAAATTTGCAGCCTTGCTTCCCGCATGAGAACTATAAAGCATATGATAGTGAAGTATGGAAGGCTGATGAGTGCATGACCTGTATGTCAGTGTTGCCTGGGGTCAAATGAGCAAGTTACAACTATTTCAAGCAAATTTGTTGCAATTATTAAAAACACTTTTTAATGGAGTCTGATACATTGATCAACTTCTTTTAAACAAAGAAAAATAATGAGTTTCTCATATATTGATAAAAACCTGCTGGTGTGGTGTATTTTAGTGGTTAAAGACATGGAAAGCACCTTCATAAAGAAATGAAATGGTTGTGAAGCAAAAGGTGAAGGTCATGAACCAATAATGGTTACTGGTTGTTAGTCAAAGAGGAGTAACAGTTTGCTGTGGTTATTTTGTAAGGTAATGGTGTTTGCTTGTTGTTGAGTTGGTAATGTTAGTAGATTACGTAAGTAATCTTGTAAGGTACTATTGTATATTAGTTAAATCCAGAATATAATATGAAGAAGTTTAAACATGGATCAGCAGCAGACTGGGTGTTGATAAATAGAGACACATACTGGAAAGGGAAGAAAGAACTAATGCAATTTACAGGTTTCTCAATCAATTCTTTCAAATCAGGAAGAGGATAGGGATCTTTCAGGCAACTCCAGGAGGAATTCTTCTCATGTAGTACCTGTTATGTCCGTAAGTGGGAATATAATTCTGGCTTCTTGTGCCAGTTTCATATCTATCATGAGTCTCTTACTGTTCACACTATTATAACACCAGCGTCGTTACTTGTTCCTATAGCACACTTGTTCAAAAGAAAATAGGATGCTGTACTGTTAACGTGTACGATGCCAGCAATGTCTTGTCACTGAGTCCTTGCGTGCTGATTGACTTAATCACCTGCCAGACAGCCGGTTCTACAGCTGTGTTCTACCTATTTCTTTTTCTCTCAATAGGTAATATCAAGTTGGACCTGTCTCCCCCAGTTCAGTGATTATTACACTAAGTATAGAAGCATCTTAATTTTTGAGACAGGAACCTTCTTTTAAAATCCAGTTTTAGAATTGGCTGGCTGATGCAAATATTATTGAGGGAACAGATATATGCAAGTCATCTTGTTTGTCTGTCTTATTTTTAGAAAACCAGTCTAAATCAAATCAGCTATTTGAATGTTGAAGAAATGGTAGGAAAAGTGGCACAGAAAACATAATTCTTCAGTGTAAATATTTTGTAGTACGCTTCACCTCAGCTTCATAGAGGTATTACAGAGTATTGCCATACAAAAAGAAGTTTCAAAGGAGGGAGGTGGAAAGCATGATACAGGAAAACTTCTAAGAAGAAGATTCAGAAAAGATTTGGATTGTTTACATTAAGAAAGAAATAAATGAGAGGAAAAAACCCCAACCTAGTAGTACTGTGGGATGTAAGTGAAATGAGAATTTACACTTTCACTTCTTGTAAACCTAGAATAGGGGACATTTGGTCAACAAATACAGAACCAGTAAAAGGATGTGCTCTTCCAGGTAATGTGAGCATTTTTTCAGATATATTGTACCTGCAACCTATTTTCAGGGGCAAGGGTTTTAAGAAGATCAAAAAAGAACTTGGTAGTTTACATTGACAGCAGTTTTCAGAATTTGTGTACTCGATGCTAAAAAATTTTAAAGCTCTAATAATGTTCGTTCATCAGAGCCTAAATCAATCTCTGATTACTGCAGGTTAGAATGGGACCTAACTGGGGGGAGAAGGGAGGGATGTGCCTAATGGAAGTGTTCTTGCCCTTCCCTGAAGCAGCTGGAGCTGGCTTCTGCCAGGAACAAAATACTAGATTTAGAAAGGCAGCAGCTGAGACCCAGTCTGGCAATTGCTGTCTACTTTTGTAGGCTATCATTACAGGTTTGAGGAAAGTGTTATTTAGAATAATACTCTTCTTTGCCTTTTCTGTGCCAAAGGAGGTAAACCATATTCCTTTTAATTTCATTAAAAACAGTGTTTTAGTTGGTCGAGTTCGTGTCTCATGCTGTTCATTTTCTGTGATTAAAATAATGAATAAAAGCTATCGAACAGTAATGTCTGTTGGATTATGGAATATTTTATGTGGTAGAAGTCTTTTATTTCATGATTTAATAGGAAAACAGATTCCATAAAGCATTAGAGATGGCACACTTCCCTCCGTTACTGGAGATTAACGTAAAAATGTTGACCTGCCAGAGATAAAGAAGGCCAAAGCTGTGAATCGGTGATAAAGTTGGGTTGTGTGGGATTTTTTTTCCAAAATAGACTTTCAGCTTTAAATTCACATTTAGAAAATAGCTGTTCTTTTACAAGTCATGAGTACCATACACAAGTCATGAATACCATACATTATTAGTTTGAAAATAATTTTTGAAAGGTGTTTTATATTCACCTGGCTTTTAGTATTTTTTCCTTTTTTTGTGTGTGCGCTTCACACTGTGCAAATTAAAAATTAAGTTGGGTTGCCTTTTCATGGTATTTTTTTTTAATTGAAGTATTTAGGTTGAAAACCCTAAGTAGAAGATTTTGTTTGTATATAAGGTCTCTTGCAAATATGGTATTAACTTGTGAGAAGAAAATGATCTTGTGAAAAGGAAATTATTATGTAGTCCATATGTATATTTAGTGTTGGAGTTGTATATTATTTAGAGAGCTCCTATACCATTTACCCTGAATATGCTGATACTTTTTAAGGTTTTGGAAACTGCCTCTCTCGCTGGAAGTGCGGACGTGCCAGAGGAAATCAAACACGTCTTAGCTGAGAAGAATCACCTTCAAAATGAACTGCAGCGCTGTCTTCAGGAGATACACCAGAAGGATCTGCATTTTCAGCAGATTAATTCAAAGGTAACTTACAACAACAGCTGTGATCCTAAATAGCTCATGTGAATCTGAGCTGGTATCAACACAGAAATATTGCTAAATTGGCGGTGTCTTGTGTAATTGAAAGTTAGAGTGCTTTAAAACGTAGATTCTTCAAAACAACCCCGTTGGCTCAGACTAGAAATTTCAAACTAAATGTCAGTATTACCTTTCTGTCAGGCTTTCCTGACTTGTTATTTGTCAGAGAGAGGTTTATTTGCATCTGCATTCTGAAGAGATAGATGGGGCACTGCTGAACTTCTACTCAAAGTAAAATATTTTTCATTATAGACAGAAACAGATGTCTGTCTGAGCTGGAACAAGATTTTAGC